CTTGCTCTCTACCAACACTACCTCCAAAAGCCCAATTATTCAGCCCTAAGAGGTGTGGGACATGAGACAAACTCTGCCGTAAGCATACAGCTGGGTGCTGTGCTGGGAATTCAAAACTCCAAACTGCAGAATATCAAGCCTAGTTTCTATCAGGGTCAACCAAATGCATGTCTTCATATCTCGTTGAGCATATCTGGTCCTGCAGTGGAAGGCACTGCTGACCTTAACTGGGAGGAAAGCTAAGCAAACAGCATATCTGATGTTTTGTTTCACTTCTAACAATCACATTTAAGATCATTCAGTTCAGGGTTGGAGCTTGACAGTAAGCAAAAAACTTTAATGTGCTGTGGTTTGGAGGTATAAGTCCCGTTTCAGTTTTGCATCCCGGACGAGCCCCCGATTTGTGCCTCAGGTAAGAAATAACCAGTAGTGAGTTAATAGCGAGTCACGACCCAAATAATGGGTCGCATGTCTGAAAGAGAACAACTAGACATACAATTAATCACCAAACGGTTTATAAATAAATATTGGCTAATCAGCTTTAAAACAGGGAAGAAAATTATTCCCATATCTTGTTGTTGAGTTGTTGAGACTGTGCGTCCAATCAAACTCTATGGTATTGTTGCACAATATTATCTGTCACTTGGTTAAAAAATGACAAATATTTGGCCAATTGTTTGACCCATTTGCTAGACTGGTTAATCCCCCTTCTGCTGTCATTCATGCATTTTGAAAATTGCCAATTTTCTTATTCAGTTAATACATTTTCCATCTTGTTGGGCCTATGCAGATCGCAGTAATATCGATGTAAGGGCTCGACAATAAGGACTGCACTGTCACGAAAGATTAACATTTGTATGCTTTTAAAATCTTGCCAATTTAAAAACTCAAGCGCAACAGAGTAATAAATGTGGTACTCACACGCAGTCTGATAGACCGTTTTCACCACTGATACTTTAATAAGGATTAATCTATACAGTGCAGATTATGCAGTGTTATTTTAATAAAAATTTTAGCATTTTGCAGATGCTTTTTATCCAAAGCGACTTACAGTGCATTCAGGCTATACATTTTTTTACCAGTATGTGTATTCCCTGGGAATCGAACCCACAACCTTTTGCGCTGCTAACGCGGTGCTCTAATTTGATTATTCCTTACCCGAATATTATTCTTAACCCTTTCAATATTCCCGAATATTATTCTTAACCCAAACTTTCAGCACTGCTTATTTCCTAGTATCTTCATTCCCCTTTGTGCAGTTGCTCGCAATTTGACTGTTTACTTGTCTTTAATAATGTTTGAACTTTATATTAGTTAGAATAGTAGCTTTTGCAGTGGTATCAAAATTGGAAATGAGAATTTTGAAAATTCACTTGTATCTAAAATATCGGTGTTACATGGTCAAACACAATGACTTTTTGTGGTTGTTGAGGTCCTTAGTTGTTTAGCCCTAAAATACTTCAATGTTAAATTTTAAGGGCACTTTTGCACACTTAACTATTTTAGCTGAAACCAAACCAGTTGAGAATCACAGACACAACTGATGAGACTTAAAAAGAGCTGGCTCAGGTTTTTTATCTTTATAAACACCACCATCATGCAATGCCGCGGGTCTCAGTCAAGCATCAAGATTACTTTACATTTACTTTGTCATCCAACACACATTCTTCCCGAGGAGCGCCGAACTGCCCAAACCTGTGCACAGTGGAGTCACACCCGCATCAGAGACGCCAACAACTGATAGACCGTCTATAGCCTGTGCCAGGAGCTCTGAAACAGCCAATTGTTCTCCACCTCAACCTCCAGCAGCAATAAGGAGGAGACATATCGGGGCACGGCAGGCTCACGTTATGATCCTGAATATGCCTCCATGCTATCCCAGGAAACATGAACTTTGGAGTTATTTCTGCATTACAGCTAGGAAAGCTGTTGCCATAATACTATTGGCAAGGTTTTAGAAAGGCACCACGTTTCGCAGTGCTGAGAAAGGACAGTTTATAGATCTATAATAAAAATTGTCGTGCTGAATGCTGGAAGTGGAAATAAATGTCATTAATTTGAGCTAATTTGCTGTAAAACAAGTCCATAAAAGAGGATTAGTAACACTTCACTGACTCGTTTGACAGGTGACCACCATAAACACTGAACTGAAGAGGGAAACACACTTTTTAAGGTATTCAGATGTGGATGTATCTCTCATCAATGTCTGGGGACAGACGATGCCACAAGACACGTAACGGACATTATCGCTAACCCTTCAAATGACGATGTGGGTTTGACGCAGGAATGTAAAGCTGTCGCCAGGATGCATACCAGATACGCTGGAAAGTACTGCGCTTTCTAGTACAATGTGCTTAGCGCACTTGAGAAGATTTTGAAATATAGTCCCTGTTGAAAAAAACAGCATATGCTGGTTAGGTATGTTTTGACGCTGGGATGCTGGTTTAAGCTGGTCCTTTGCTGGTTTATGCTGGTCATGTGCTGGCAAAGGACCAGCATAAACCAGCGTCAAAACATACCTAACTAGCATATGCTGTTTTTTGCAACAGGGGTATTACCTCAGTCTATCGGTATTGTCTGCCAAAGACCAGTAAACACATCGGAGCAATGCAGAAAAACCTACCATCAAAGTATGTTTTAGTCAGTACCTGTTAGTTTTAATTAAAGGAATGGTTCACCAGACAGTTTGCTGAAAATGTGCTCAACCTCCGGACATCCAAAATGTAGATGTGTTTGTTAATGCATCAGATTTGGAGAAATGTAGCATTGCATCACTTGCTCACCAATGGATCCTGTGCAGTGAATGGCCTGAGGTGAACACATTTTCAGAAAAAAAATCATTTTGGGGTAAACTATTCCTTTTTGTATTCCTTCAACTATTCCCCCAATAATACCACATGCAACCACCTACCACTCAAGGCTGTTATGTGAACAAAAGCCTTCTGGTTCATTCATAGGGTCTTCACAAAACCAAGATGAAGAGCTCCACTTTTAGTCTACTTTTATAGCATCTCCTTTACAGACAAAAGTTTATAGGAAAGGCTTTGCTGGAACCACAAAGCCAAATCAAGAACCATTGTGAAAACCCATCGCTGATGGTTTTCCTTACTTTGGAATGCGGCATTATTTGAATACTCTAAGTCAATGGTGTTTTAAGACTCGTTGCAATGAAAGAATTGCTTGAATAAACTGCAAGCTCTATCTTTTTTGTAGTTGCAAAACAAGCCTTGGCCATTTGACACCTCCACAGATGTCACGCTCTCTGCAGGTGCAGGTTAGGATCCTCGCTGGAAGGGTTTAAAAGGTCAAAAACTAGCACAACCATTAATGTGACATTCTCATACGATCATCCCTGGTGAACGTCCTTATGTGATCACCTTGGATGGGCACGCTAATTACAATGGGGATGAAGACATGAAGCAGAATCAGGCATGTGATCAGTTCATGCTTGCACTGAACGGCATTATTGCGTCAGTGTTTCTGTGAGGTCTATACAGTCAGAACATGTTTTAAAGGCGCGTAGAGTCACATCCATCCAGGAAGCAGACGCCAGCATCTTGACAGAGCTCAACCGCTTTTATTAATAGCTCAGTCAGACCATGCAATTTTTTGCCAACAATTTGTATGACACACACCAGTAAGTAAATTGGACTTCAAGTTAGTCACCAATCAGGTTTAATGTCAGGAACAGGGAGAGTGGAGTTAGATACAAATTTGTTTGGCCAACTGGTGCAAATAATTCTGACAGATCATCATAAAGATCTAATGATTAACATGGATAAATCTAACTAGAGCTGCTGAGCATCATTTTGTGTTTGTCCATGCAGCTAGGTACTAGTACTTGTTCTATACTTCCAAATAACATCTATTCCAGTTTTCAAAGTAGGCACTAGTTGCAATTTATTATTCACCACTAGTATGTTTACCAGTTGTTACTAGTAACATTAATCTTAGTATAATCAAAGTAGCAACTACAAGTAGTCACTAGACACAATTGAAAATAAAGCAATGGTAACTTTAACTAGAGTCAAGTGATGGAGTACGGGTAAGTTAGGGACAGGTTTCATGGTATGGTACGGGTTTAAAGGATTTGACTAAATTACTTACAGATGTATTTGCATGCATGTTTTTACATTTTACATGCATTTAAACAAAAACTGCACGTGAACAATAAATGCATTGTTGTAAATATTAGTCCATAGAATTTAAAGACACTTAATATAAAATCCAAAGCAAATGCAACTAGCAAAATAACAATGCAATAATAACTGGGATAGATGATACTAGTTTATTTACCAAGTGAGACACAAGTACAAGTAAAACTATTGAAATATTAGTTACTAATAACCAAAAAAAAAACATGCATGTACTAGTCTCTAATGAATAGTTATAAGAGAAACTGAAAAGATAGCACAGGTACGTCTGTTAAAGACCGCTTCATCTGCTAGACGTCTGTAAGATGTCAGTTTTACATACACATCTTAAAAAACATCTTCTAAACGTCTATTTGACATCTAATAGGAGACGTCCTATATTGCAGATGAGCAAACACTCGAAAAAAATGCGTCTTGCAGATGTAATGCAGACGTCAAACAGACGTCTCCGCGATGTACGTGTGTATCACGGTATTGAACGATTTTCTAGTAGTTACAAATACCAGCAGCAACTAAACGCTACTTTACGATGTCAGCGTATATATATAACAGATACAATGTTAAAACGGACTGCCTGAATCACAGATGATGATGATGATGATGATGATGGCACGCGATCTCAGCAAACGCGCGTGCAGCAGTGACAGGATTGCGTCACAGTTACTGTAAATGCTACATATTAGATCGCATGTAAAAGCACCAGACCCCCGCGGATGGAGGTATATTCCTATACGTCCGAAGCGCAAACCCTCGGCTGGAGCAGGGCATTTTTACCGACAATTTGCACGACACATTTGACTCGGTGCGTCGCCGTCAATTAGGACAAAGATCTCGAAACGTACTTACCCCATTAACCACTCCATGATGACTGAAAGAGATAAATCCGAGCAGAGCTGCCGTGTATCCGGGTAGCCCGAGCTATCAGTCTGGATCGGCTTTCGGCTGTTTAATCTCCGGCGCTTGTGTTTGGCGAACGAGAGCGCGTTAGTGATCGGCGCATGAGAGGTGACGGCGGGGCCGGTGGATGAGCTCCAGCGCTCCGATCAAGCACCGCATTGACTTTGACGTTTGGCGAAGGGTGGCAGGGGGATACTTTCTGTCTTGAATGGTCGTCTAAAGCTGCGCTAATCTCTCTCTGCGGCTGTGCCGGAGTATGGCGGCTCTCCGGTCACCAAAGCATCGCGCTCCACCGGGGACGGTCTCGGATCGGATCGGGGCGCGGGGCTCTCGCGGAGCTTGTAGGGCAAGTGGAGAGGCTGTTTTCAAGCTCTGCCATATACAGGAAATCCGGAAGTAAACACAGGTTCGATGCCGACCCCCTCTCTTCAGGGATGTGATCGGTTCACCGAGGCATGCTGGGATATGTAGTTTCAGGGGAAAGCCGAAGACTACGCGCAGACGTGTCGGAGTGCGTCAGTGCGCGCACTCTCTCTGCCTCCTGGAATTCGTTGTTAACCTTTTTATTGTAATGGCAAAATTGTATATACGTAAAGATAAATGTGTAAATTCATCCCCTGTGATTTAAGATGCTTTCTACTGAATTTGACTGCTGTGTGTCTTTACTAAGATTGTTAAAAAATACAAATCATACATTTAAAAAATAATAATAATTTTACATTTCCCTGCTACATTGTAATCTCAATATATGTTTAACATTACATCGTGCTATGCTTAATAAAAATAATAAAAGGAAAATGCAATTAAATAAAAAAAACTCTTTCTAGGGTTTTTTTGGAGGGGGGGGGGGGGGGTTGGTACCTGTACCTGTGTGCTGTATTAGACAAAATACAGCAAATACAAAGTTTTTCAAAAGTTTTGCATGTGAACACAACGTTTCTCAGGAATCCTTACATTTTTGCCAGCTCAGCCCTTTCCATCACAGAATGATGTTAAACACAATCAATTATTAATATGTGCTGAAAATGTAATCGTTGGACCAAAATGATGTAACAACAAAAATAACTAAACTGATTCACATATTGTTGGACTCTGATAAATGACAAATTAAACTAGAAAAAGCACCAAAAGACAACATTCTATACGATGCATACTCTTATACAGCTGCGTGTTTGAATGAAAAGTCCAAATAAATCTCATAACTCAATATGTCTTACTGTCAATATAAGCACAAATTGGTCTGACGTTTAAATTAGTTAATCATTTTCCATTGTGTGATTTATTAAAACAGTAAACAGGTTTAGGACCGTCCAGTTGAAGAGGAGTCTGTGAGCTCAGTGACCCTGCGCTGATATCTGACCGCATGCTGACCATTGCTCTCCGCTGCGGAAGCTGCGAGTCCTGAGCTGAGCTGCAACACTATTATTTATTCATAAAGAGTGCTTGTTGTGCAGGGGGCCATTAAAGGACATCAGACTTGAGATAGCATTGCATTACCTGCTCATATATAATGAATGGAACAAAGGACGATCACGCTTTGCTGTAGCTGCAAAAATAGATGCACTTTAGAGAGTGTTGTGGACGGTTTGAGACGCAGTCAGAATCTGAAAGCGGGAGCGAAAACAACTGATATTCAATTATTTACTTTTTGTAATGTATGTTTCTGCTATTGTTGTGTATGATTCATTGGTCTACGGTATTAAAAACGTAAAAGGATCAAATAAATGCATACATTTTTTATTTAGATTCTATTTTTCTATTTTAATTTTAGTTAAAGGTTTAGTCATTTCGAGCATGTGTTTTTGTCATTTTTATTCATTTAAAAAATTTTTTTTTTCAAAAATATGTCTATGCAGTTTTAGCTTCTTGTTTTAGTTATTTATAGTAATTTTAGTGCCTAATATGAACTTAATACGGTATGAAATGTAATAAAACGGCAATATAATAAAACATATATAAATTATATGTATTTTTTTACAAATGAGATATACGTTTTTTTTATATTTAAATTTATATTTAATTGATATTTTAGTTAAAGTTTTAGTAATGTTGCTCTCTGTTTTTGTCATTTTATAGGTTTAGTTTTCGGTATAGTTTTAGTTATTTTAGTGCTTGATATGAACTTAAATATGAAATATAATCAAATGGAAATATAATTTTTAAAAATTAAATAAGTTTAAAAATGAAAACATTGTTTTTTTGTATTTTTTTATTTCAGTTCATGTTTATTTGATTTCATCTCAAGTAGAAAACATTATGTTATGGTTGTGATTTCAGTTTTAGTTAACGATAATAACTCTGGACTGAATCATAATTCCTCACATCCTGCAGAGCTTCATGGGCCATTGCAAAAGTAAACATCTCCTAAACTCAGCCATCAGCTGTTTAATCTCTATTTATTCTGACATTTAAACCAGTTTTCCCCGAATGAAGTTTTAATTCATTTATCCTAATTACCTTGGCCTGTATTTGCTGAAAGAAAGGTAGTTCACTGCGAGATGCTCATGCAAGTCTAGAGGAGGAGCGAGAGAGAAAAGTGGCATGAGAAGTGTTGCTTATTTTTAAAGCAGCATTAGTCACTTGCTCTAGAGATCATGGAAAGGGAAAAATGTCCTGATGACATAATGATTCTTTAACAGTTTCCATACCGAAGGTTTGGATCTGTGCGCCATGGGCTCCACATTACAGTGTCACGTCTGGATATACTCAAATCGTTTGTACACACTCTCTCACGCACAGGCCTGCAAACACGCACAAACTCATTCTAGGTGAAAAGAGTTGCTGTTCTCTCTTTAACAACATTTTACACATACAAAAAAAAAAAAAGTACACTCATTTGAGTAACCTATTAAATATCAGTCAAATGGAAAACATTTCTCTGGTTCATAGCACCTGGAAGTCTGAATCATCAGTGTCTCAGCAGTGGATGCTCTGCAGTGAATGGGTGCCGTCAGAATGAGAGTCCAAAAAACATCACAATAATCCACAAGTGATCCACACAGTTAACATCTGGAGAAGACAAAAGCTGAAACAAATCCAGCATTAAGATGTTTTTAACTCAAATACGAGTCCATAATCCATAATCCATAATAACGCTTCCTCCAGTGACAAACTGCATCTCCTGCTGTCTCCCACATCAAAATCCAGCCACATATTTGTTTAGAGCAGTTTTGGCTTGTGAACTTGATCTGTGCAGACTTGAGTCAGAACAGATGACTTTATCAACGGAGGAAGTTGTGGTTTATGGACTATTTTAGCCGGAACAAACAGTTTGCAGTTAAAATCTCCTGAATGTTTTTTTTGTTGTCTTCTCCAGATGTTAACTGATGGACTGGAGTGGTGTGGATTACTTGTGTATTATTGTGATGTTTTTATCAGCTATTTGGACTCTCATTCTGACGGCACCCATTCACTGCAGAGCATCCATTGCTGAGACACTGATGCAACGCTACATTTCTACAAACTCATCCTGATCTTGGACGGGTTGAGGGTGAGCACATTTCCAACCAGTTTTCATATTTGGGTGAAATATTCCTTTAACATTTAAAGTAGCAAAGTAGTTTTTATATTATTTTTATTATTATTATTTTGTTTAATAAGCTACTTTAATTACTGCAGTTTAATTAACTGTAGCTTGGAAAGTTTAAAAGTAGAACACTGATGATATTTATATATAAAGTATATATATATATATATATATACAGTATATATAGACGGAACAAGAGCAGTTATTAAAGCGAATACTCTCTTAAGGTTGCTCAGTGTTTTCTTTGCCAGATGAAGCCAGAGAAAGATACTCTACTTGGGTGAGTTATATTTCTCATACGCTCATCATTATGTCCTTTTCTTAATTACACTCGGACAAGGAATCTGACACGCAAAAGACAATTAGGGCTCATAGATTTTAAACCACTCAGCCAGTCAAGTACAGTTGTAAATTTAAGCATCTATTGTGTGTGTGTTTGTGGCTTCAGTAAGGTGCAGATCATTAGCGAGTGAATGGTAGCCTTCATTAGTGCTGAGCTGTCTGAAATGTATTTGCTGTTACTGATGTGAAAGTCTTTTTCATTGATTGCGCGCACAGTCACACACACACACACACAGACACACACAGTCACACGCACACGCGCACAGATACACAGACACACGCGCACACACAGACACACGCGCGGACACAGACACACGCGCACACAGTCACACGCGCACACACACAGACACACACAGACACACACAGTCACGCGCGCACACAGTCACACGCGCACACAGTCACACGCGCACACAGTCACACGCGCACACACACAGTCACACGCACATGCGCACAGATACACAGACACACAGTCACAAGCGCACACAAGCACACAC